AAACTCCGTCCGGGTCGCTAACCACCGTCCGCAGAAAGAAAAACCATGAAGTTTGATCGTGTTTCAGTATCACTTGATTAAAGAAAATTCAAAATAGGACGATAGCGCATCTTATTTAGATGTAATATGGCTGAAGTGTTTGTCTTGTATGTCCTCCTACAAAATAATAAGTCATACAACGTTCACTTATATTAACAACATTATTAAAGTATAGTGTAGGTATTCGTAAACAAGCCAGAGTTAAAGTAACCGACTTTTACATACGAGGCCGCTAGAGGCAGAGTAGCCTAACTGCATGACTTGAGTTACTTATATTTTCATAGTCTAAAAATGTTAATCCACGGGTGCAAAATTGTTAACATAATTCTTACACAAATGATAGCAAAAACTTTTTATCGTCTAAGTTAATTGTGCATATTTATTTTCCTCCTTATTGAAAATCATGTTTTTTGTTATTAGGCCACTCCGCCTCTAGCAGCCTCATATTAATGATCATGTAAAACAATTTAGATCTTCAACGAACTAAATCATAATGGTGATTATATAGAAGCCTAATTTTTAAAAACCAATTTCGTAATTATATAATATGTATATATAGATATGAAACTCTCTTAAATACTGTCTATAGTTTACGCGAGTAGTACACATTTCAATAAAACACATTAACGGTTTGAAACGCGATATATTAGTTAAACTTATTTGAAAATGATTTTTAACTTCGGCCCGACGTTTCAAATGCTTTGCAGCAGCCGTGGTGACAGGGAGATAAAAATCACTTTCAAATAAGTTTGACTAATATATCGCGTTTTAAACGGTTAAAGTGTTTTATTTAAATGGAACTATCTTCTTTGTATTATTATTTTCCAATCAGTCGAAATACTAAAAACCGAATTTCAGGCCATGCCTAGTGCAGAGTGAGCAAGGTATAAACTTTTTTGTATTCAACAAAGCATCCGTTGCGAGGAAAGGAAATGAGGGTTTTATGTTAAGTCGTACACCTTGTTGGCGTATGACTTCGAGTACTTAGTCGAAAACAATTGTTTTTATTTATAGAACAAAGATGTTTATGTGTAATTGAGTTGTACTTATATGAGCTTCTTATCACGGTGAATAAACATTAAGATATGCACTTTCTGTAGTTTACGCGAGTAGTACACATTTAAATAAAACACTGACGGTTTAAAACGCGATATATATTAATTAAACTTATTTGAAAATTATTTTAACTACGGCCCGACGTTTCTGATGTCTTGTGTCTGACCGTCTCCGTGACCACGGTTGCTGGAAAGCATTTTAAATTAGGTTATGTTCTATTATACTGAATATAAAACAATCTCTTCTTTAGCAGTTAATTCACTTTACGTTTGTTTTAAGACACAAAGGCTCTAAGAAGTTTTCCTTCGAGAGTTGACGACATTAATCATTACGATGACAGTCTTCTTTTAGTTGTGAAAAGTATGAGAACAGAAGCGTAGTGCACTGTCTTCGACACTGACTTCGGGTCCTGAAAAAAAAATTTTAGTGCGTCTATAGCTTTTTCAATAACTACCGACAATTTATAAAGAATTGACTGGCTCAAATGTTTCTTTATTGACAATTAATCCTTCCTGATGGTATGAATTGATATTGCACCCCACGTCGGGAATTAATGAGAACGAGGAGTACACGTACCCCTGTGTTCGTGCTGTCCTCTGCGAGAACCTCTGAAAAATACCACCAGCTCGCAACGGTGATTTTGATGAAGCCCTGGGACTACAACTTCAAAGTTTCCGGCTTCAATGCACCTTTCAGGCAGAGTTATCAATGTTCTATAATAATTTGTCACACTTACATACAAAAAAGTCGAATCAACCACACTACTTCTTAATACTGTCTGTAGTTTACGCGAGTAGTAGACATAAAAAACACTAACGGTTTAAAAGGCGATATATACTAGTTAATTTACATTTTGCTTTACCTACGACTCAACGTTTCGGATGCTTTGCTGCAGCAGACGATGCGTTTTAAACTGTTAAAGGTTGATTATTTGATTTACACTTCTTTTTTTATACAAAGCGTCAATCAATAGACACTGTTTTCAATATGTGAATGGCTGACTAAGGATAACACAAGGGCGATGAGTCCACATCAATTTTAGTATAATGTGAAAAATATAAAGATCCCCTAAGCATCGCGTAATTGTTTTCAAAATTTAACGCACAAATAATCTCCTTAGCTTCTTTTTTAACCCATAATACGGCCTTACAAAAGATATGCCCCGAATGTTCAATAATCCAATGGCCATTCAGAGGTCACACAGATGTGCGGACTACAGACAAAAGCCTCACATCCTTGAACGGGTTGAAGCACAATTCATGCTTAGTCCTTAAGACAATGTAATAAGGGCGATTTTTGCTTGGCGCTTGTTAATTTTGTTAAGAAGTTATTCGGCTGGTGTTTTATACACGTGTTAGTCTCCCCTCAATAAATGCATATCACCTGGTACTGGAGTGGAAATAAAAATTGGGTCACACGTTGTCACTACTCTCTTTATGCGACTGAACTTTTCGGATGTTTTTATCATTGTGGTAGTAGTGAAATACCGTATCCCCTCGTGGGGCGTGGGGGAACACATATCTGTGGCACTGATCGGTTTTGTATACAGACAAAAAGTTGATCAGAGTTGTCCGACTGAAGAAATTTATTGTTTCGTTGGGGTTCGAACCCAGGATCTCTCGCGCTTAACGCAGTGCTAGGCAAAACGTATAAAAAGATGTGTACAAGTGTAAGATATAGTACTAGTAGAAATATCTTGTTAAAACACCAATATAAACACGTTAACGGTTTAAGACGCGATATATATTAGTTTAACTTATTTGGAAATTATTTTAACTACGGCCCAACGTAAACTTTAACTTGTTTATATCGCGTTTTAAACCGTTAAAATGTTTTATTTAAATGTGTACTGCTCGCATAAACTACAGACAGTACTTAAATCGATATTTGATTGAAAGTATATTTTGAGTTAGATGTGCCACTCGTTTTTTTAACCACGTGCTATTTGTAGGGGAGAGAGGGGACATTTTTGGACACATAGGTAATATGTGCAGTACAACATGTGTTTGATCAAGACCAGCAAAGTACAAAACAGCTAAATAGTGTGCATGTAAACTTGAACCTGATGTAAATGTAATCGTAATATATTCCTTTAATATAACAAATATCTTTTTTGTATTATCGTTCGGATATAGTAGAATAAACTTCTAAATACGGTCCCAGTCCCAGCAGCGGGAAATACTTAAGCCCAGATCGCAGCAGAAGGTCAGTACCTCCGTCGGTCTGTATTATTCGTCAAAGGGCGGTACGTTTGTTTCGAATTAAAACTCACAGGAGGTAACCCTATCCGCGAAACTATTAAACGCTTCTACCTTTGTGCCTTGTTCTTAAAACCGGTCCCATTGTGGCCCATACCCCATACATACCACACGTGCGCCTGAGAATAATCGAGCCATTCACATAACTAAGATTTATTTTAACGAGGGTCCCTGGTCAAGGATCTTTCTTTTTCGAATTAGAATTTCAATTACATCTTCGTATTCCTTACCTTCAAGCTTTGGACATTTTGGTGGTAAATAATAAAAAAAAAATCTATACTCATAGATGATGGAATATATTTGAATTAAGGCGTAACACCAATTGTATATTTGTAATGTTTTTTTCTATAATATTTTTTAACATATACTTTTTATGATAGAAGAGAACAGACAAGCATAAAGTTCGCTTGATGAAATATAAACCCCACCAAAGGCGATGGAACCCTCACGGTTTTTTTTTAACCCAGTATTATGAAATATTAGATAAAGATATTTTTCGCTATATAGAAAATAACGAAGGATATATTTCAGTTATATAAAAAAATATTCGTATTATTAAACAGTAAACACATACTAAAAGTTGAAATGACTATTTTAGGCAACAAACCTACTTTATTATAATAAAAAAATACTAATATTTTAGATCTATACCTAGAAATACTAACTACATATAGTTATTGCTTTATGCTATTAGAAATATTTTGCTCTTGTTAGGCGTCGTAGGTAATTATTTTTATATACCTATATAATCAAAAACTTATCTAATTTAACGAAAAATAAACTGATTCTTATATTATATATTACGTAACCGAGTTTTCGTATATTTTTAGAACAAAAACCAATGCGGAGCTTACTTAGTAAATACCTTTTCGACAAATAAGTAGTTATAAAAATATCGAGTATGGGTCCATATTTGATTATTTTTAATGAATGTGCAATTTAAATATTTATATAAGAACCCTTGTGCAAATACACGTGCGTCGAACTAATATCTATACTTAGTTTCGCTTATCAGGCCCTTATCAGAAGTTTCTTCAAACCGTTGCATTATATCGCCACCATGTCTGTGGTCACCTATGACTAAGATAACATTTGTTTGTCGACTTGTTCAAACATACTAAAGTTTCTACTCATTGAATAATCTTTATTTGCGTTTCCATGAGTGCTTTCGACAATATACAATATATTTTACCTTTAACTAGATTGTGACAAATAATAATTAATTTGAATTCCATCGACTAGCCATGGCTGTTATAGCTTCCCAAATGAAAATGTACGTAACGAGTAATGGAAATGTCAAGCGGTGAGCATACCGGCTGCATTCGCTGCAGTGCAGCCAAGTTCGACCGCTGCCGCGGCCGCGTCCGCTACCGCGCGAAAGTGAAAATCTGCTAGGCACTTTCTCCCCACCCGGGCCGTGTCGCGTCGCATCGGCCCGCCCCTCGCTGCACCCCCGCGCCCCGCAAGGTCAGGCCCGCGTGCAGGCGGGTCGCGGGTGGTGCGGCGGCGGCGCGGCGACGCGCTGCGCTCTTGAAATTTCGCTTTCGTTCACTCGCGGTTATTAGTCGGCCGCGCGCGCTCCGGCAAGCATGTGTCTCGCGTGACGTTCCACTCTCGCGTTCGATTTCGTCGAGTCGATCGTGCACCATGGCCCCGCGGCGGCAAGGCGCGACCGGCGAAAGGGACTCCGAAGACAGTCACGGCTGCTGCGTGCCCAGCGAATGCCTTCGCCCCCGTGAGCCCGTGCGTATAGAGGACGCCGTTCGCGTGCTATGCAACAATGACACGTGCTCTGCCGGCCGGCATATGCACAGAGAGTGCTTTGAGCAGTGGGAGGCCGGGGTGCTCGCTTACCTCAAGTCCTGCGGCCGAGCCAGGTCGTGGTCGGAGCGGCAGCGGCAACAGAACCTATGGACGAAGAAGGGATACGACTTGGCGTTCAAGGCCTGCGGTTGCCGGTGCGGGCGCGGGCACCTGAAGAAGGATCTAGACTGGTCCCCGCCGGGTGCGGCGATCCGCGCCGAGGAGGAGAAGAAGAAACGCAGGCGTGCCAGGTCGAGCCGCACTCCGGCCGCCATCGACGTGCGATCGCGGGCCTTCAGTCTGTCTAGTTCTGGCTCCTGTTCGCCGCCTTCCGCGCCCTCCGAGCCGTCTACCAGTCCGACCCACGCTCCGCCAAACCCGCTGACACCAGCGAAGAGAAATTCTAAACCTGAAATCGTATCCGACCGAGTCAGGTGAGTGAGCGTTTGTTTTGCCATTATTCTCGTCTCCAATTACTGCCTTTTATGCATAATTTATACAGCTACACTTGTAATAACAATACACCTGTGAATAACAAATAATGCATAATGTATTGTGACAAACTGATAAAACGACATGTAAAAACATGTTTTATCGTGTCCCGTTGTGTAGTAGGAAGCGCTCTTATTTCTTGTGTCAGCCATGTTTTAAATATGCTGATTTGGCTTGTGGGTTGTCCTAGTCGAATGGCAAACGCCCACGTTAAGTAATAAAGATATTTCTGTGCTCGATACGGATTATGGGCATTTAATAGGCAATTTGAATGCATTTGGATAGCTTGTGTTGGAACTGGTTGTGCACCTAAAGTGTGGTGAACTCTTTATCTATCGATAGTTGCAATTAAAACATGGCTACTCGTAGTACCTAGACTCCCTTAAAGATAGATATCCATAAGACTTCAAATTAATTACAAAAAGCTTTTATTTAGAAACACATACTTGAATATTGTCTAAAGTTTACGCGAGTAGTACACATTTAAATAAAACACTTAAGTACGGTTTCAAACGCGTTATATTAGTTGATTTTCAAATAAGTTTAACTAATATATCTCGTTTTAAACAGTTAAAGTGTTTTATTTAAACACATACTTGGTTAAATTTTTTTATCCTAACTTGTATGATAAGCTAGAAAAATCTTATTTGATTTTATAAATAGTGTAGGTAGTAAAGTTTGTCTTTCTATTTATGACAAAAATCTGTTGAATTACAACTTATTTTGTCGCCATATTTTTTTATTAATATCCTAGCCCACCAGTATTTACTTTCGAATAGACTGTTACTAGTCACGATGATAGATATTATGCGCTGGAACTTGCAAGACATGCAACGCTACAAAAAAACTGATTATACAGGCCTAATAGATAAAACTTTATGAATAAAATTGCATATTCATTTAATCATCGAACATAACAGATCTCGTAATGATGATGCTTCGGTGGGTAGACTTGTACCGCAGACGATACTCGTATTAACTTTACTAATTAATTAGTAATAAACAAAATCTTTTAACTAAAACACTTTAACGGTTACGCGATATATTAGTTAACCTTATTTGAAAATGATATTTAACTTCGGCCCGCACCCCGTGAACATGGCTGCTGCAAAGCATCCGAAACGTCGGGCCGAAGTTCTCGCGTAAACTATAGACAGTATTTTAAGAAAAATCTTGTATTAAACTTGTATTATTACATTAAAATAGTTAAATAACACTTTTTATTTAACGTTACGTAATAAATAAAAACTTTAATTGTAACAACAACTTCGGCGTTAAAATCGTTTTTTTAAACAAGCAATTAATTTATGCGTCTGAAATAAAATGAAGCTTATTCATAGTTAGCGTTTAATTCCGAAAAGCTCTTTCGTATTACAATTGCCTGGCAACACCGCACAAATTGGTATAACCTTAAAAATGCAATTTCACCCGTCCCATACATTAACTGCGCTTCGTTGCACATGGTTTCCGTTTCCCGTACATAGTTACAAAAGTGCTTTCCCCAAATTGCACCAGCTGCCCCATGTCCAAATTGATGTGGTTTCTTTGCAAAAACATGTTATACGATCAATAGTCGAAATTCTGTTTTGGCATTATTCCATTATTCGATAACTTGCAAGTTAAAATATAATATCTAAAATGTTGAACCGAGCTTTTGTTACCTACAAATAATTAAAATTGTAATCACAACATATAATATGATTATTTAATTCGTGATAGATATAGTTTTTGAATTTAGAATTAAATAAAAACACAGAATACAGAACAGACTAAAATTTGGAATCATACTGACGACTATTAACATAAATATCATTTAGTTTAAATTTGAATTACTTGGAACCGAATTTTTCGAAGGTATAAAGTAGAATTTTGAATGCAAAATCAAAGTACATACCTACAGGTAAAAATAAGAAAATCTCCTACTTGTTACCCCGTGCCATTTAGCGTGGAATGCAACCCGATCGACACTGTCATCGCGATAAAAACTCGCGCGTTTATCACAAGTATGTTGTATTTATGTATGTAAAAAATGATCCCGCGATCGGGTTTGGCTGCAACGTAAACAAGACTGTTAAGAACCGGTTCCTTTGAAGCCGATAATCACGACTCGAATGTGTTTTCTACGCACGACTGTTCAAAATATGTACATTGCTTTGGTCAGCGGTAGACTTAATGTACATGGATTGTTAGCAAACAGTCCCATTTCTGACAAGTTTAAAAAGGAATGCACAATTGACAAAAGCCTTAAGGTTGTTTTGGCTTTTAACGTCCTTTCGAACTGCTTCGAGATTGTTCAAAAATTGTTTTCTGCCTTAATTGGTCTAAGATTAAAAAAAGAAGGAAAAAATATCTGAGTTAAGCATTTGAATTACCACAATATAATTTCAACACTATTCTTTTGGTTATAATACAACGATTTCTGCCTTAACTGGTCTAAAAGGGAAAAATATGTTTAAACCTTTTATTTACAATTACGAAAAAAGTACTTAGTAATATACTGCGTATATCTAATAATTGGTCTGACATGAAATTATTTAACTTGTATCATAACTTCTCTGTTACAACGTTGGTGGGAGTAGATGTTCTGCCGTGGGCGAAGCCTGACGTCCGATTCTTATTTTGTTCGTTAACTTTGACCTATAAAATATATAACCTCGAATAATAAATACACTTCAGCTAAATTAAGTTATTCGAGTTGCGGAATTCAATTGCTTGATTCAAAATGTGTTTTGCATATTTTTTTGTCATAATATCTCGATTTATTGTTGTCTGACGGCGTAAGTGTAGGCAGATGTCGCAAATGCTTATATTTGTCTCTTTAACTGTTCGTTGTTACTGGCAATGGGACTGTAACTAAAATAATTTACAGTACCCACTCTAATTTAAAACGTATGATTTTATTATTTACTGAATAAAAAGAGCTTCTTATTAAGTGACTTTTTAATTAATATTTTGTACGAGAAATTCTAAAATTCCACTTAGATGTATCATAATTACGTTTTCAAAACGGTTTTATTGTATTTGATAAAGTCAAGATCTCAAATGAAAAATGTATTGTACGTTATCCAATTATTTTGTTGATTTAATTTTGAAATGACTTTCTTATACTAAAACCAAACGCTCGCAAGTGCAGTTAATTACGTAACTAAGCTTATAAATGCATAATTAAATGCGTTACATCCAAATAAGGTATAATAGATACAATAAGCGACAAGCATATACGCGCTCTCGCATACAAACTGCCTCATTATATACATTTGGTACGGAGCTATGTTCATACATTCAGACTCTACGAGAATATTTATGTCACCTTAATTTTAATCGAAAATCGATAAATCACTCCAAGGAATCCATTGTTGGAATTTTGTTTCATTAACTTTGTTGTTTTTAGGCTATAAATCAGCATTAAAGAAACTAATGCGTTGTATTGTGAACGTTTGAAATTGTTTGAAATCAGTTTAAATACCACTGTTGAGTACTGGTCTGTAAGATGAGAGGGTAGGGTAAATACAAATCTTTTGGATTTGGCTGGGAAATTTCAAGCCCGACGCTTATCTGTCCTCCTCTACTTTATTAAAACAATAGTTTATCTAACAGACATTTTCCTGTGTCCAACTCAAGGATTAACAAGTATGGAAATAAATACTCCTACTCTTTTCTAGTACTATGTTCTGGCAATGAGACTGTAACTGAAAAAAATTCAGTGTCTTCTACAATTTAAAACCCATGATTATATTATTCGTATATGAATATATTTTTCATTACTTTATAATAAAATACTGTCTATAGTTTACGCGAGTAGTACACATTTAAATAAAACACTTTAACGGTTTAAAACGCGATATATTAGTTAAATATATTTTTTACCTTGCCGTCAGAGACATCCTCCATCTTTAGTCTCCCCGTGACCACAGCTGCTGCAAAGCATCAGAAACGTCGGGCCGAAGTTAAAAATCATTTTCGAATAAGTTTAACTAATATATCGCGTTTTAAACCGTTAAAGTGTTTTATTTAAATGCTTTATAATAATAAAAATAATTTCTAAAGCCTGTTTAACAACCTGTTTTCCTATTATCTATAGTTATAACCGATACTATTAATAATTATTACAACTATTCTTGAACGATCTAGAAATGATTTGTAATATTTTATCAGTTATTAAATATTATCTTAGCATTTACAGCTATTTGTGTTAAATCGTGATTTGATTTGTAAATACATTAATATTTATTTACTTGAGTCATTGTCTACCTGACAGACACTACGCGAGTTTGTGCATTTTATAAAGCGGGTTAAAGGTTAAATTTCTGTATTCTGAATAAATTCTGTAATAATTATTATAATTTGTTTACGTGTAGTGCACTTAAGTCTAGAGCTTTACGTATTACAATTTGAATTGCTCAGCGCGAAAGATCGTGAGTTTTGTGTACTAACCTCCTTTTTTATTTATCAGAAAGTTTTTCACTAAGGGTACTTATCGATAAGGCTTTTCAACCATTTATATGCAGCGAGAGTACGTGGTAAGTGCGTATCGACCGTTAGGACATGTGATTTATCAATTTAATAAAGTTAATAGATACTTTATTTTTAAATGGCCACTATCAATTATCTATTAACAAAATTGACAGAGTTGTCACCAGATAAAAATATATGAAAAACTAATAAACTCATTAGGAGTTTGAAACTGCGTTATTAAATAACACACCCAGTTTGCTTTTATAACATAGTCAAACCAGTTACCTACTAGTAATAAATATTATCTTTGTGGGTGTGTCCAAGGGATAAAAATATCGTTGCTGTTGTAAAAATTAAAAAAAAATTACAGTCTTAAAATATATTTAATATTGAGAAGTAAGACATTAGGAACCTAAACATCGTGGGTAAATGAATTATTTGGTTTAATATTTTTGTATTACAACGTATTACAATAATAATTTCATTG